TATAACGTACCAACGGTATATTAATCAGAAGGCAAATACGAAGTGTCGATTACGTTTATTACGAAACCACACACATATATCCAAATGTACAGATGTGTTAAACAAGCATAGAAGAGTTGTGCCGAAATGCAATCAAGCGAACGAGAGCCAGAGCAAGAGCGTGACGAAACCGTGCGAGCGAGTGAGCGATTGTGTTCAATATGAATAACATGGACATATATATACCATGTGAAAATAAATGAGTAATCGAATCGAATAAGCGGTTAGTGGTAAGATTAGCAGAGGGAATAAATGCGTAGGCAGTAATCAATATTCAAGCATACGTATTTCATACAAGCGCAAAATAATAATAAGGATACAATAAATTGTCATAGCGCGGATGGCTTTGTCCGCTAAATAAGTTAACAAAAAGGGCTTAACTGGGTTAAATGAAAATAAACCCATTAGCACGTGAGTCGCTATAAAAGCACAAACTGATAGGTTGAAATTGATGTCCTTAACTGACTGATTTGAACCTAAATTCTATTCACTTTCGACCATCAACTGCCTGTCGCAACGCAACCTCCACAAAGCTCTAACTCTCATATTGTTATCGTTAATATCCCAATATATGAAATTTTATATGCTGTTTATGTTGTCCATGTGTCCTATAACACAATCGAGTAACCTATAGAGGCCGGCCTTATGTCGAGCCCACATAGGCTATTCCATCCTTTGGACAGACTAATCCATTCGTTCTTCTTAAGCCGCATTTTTACCCTGTCACGTACTCGCTTATCAACCTTGAATGTTTTTATGTAAGCGTATGTGTGTGCATTTCCTATCTTACCCATTACATGCCTGTAACTTTTTTTCTGGTTATAAATATCAATACACGCTTGGTTAAATTGAGGTGACTCACGTGCCTATCTCCTTACGCATCTTTTTTTGCTTCAGTTTCCTAACAAAGATTGTGCGAGAGATGCGTATTCGAAAATTCATTCCCGTATTTGACTTTCGCTATAATTGCTGCATCTTATAAGTGTTTATGTTTATCGGCTTTAATTCTCCCCTTCACCCTCTTGTTTGCTTCTTTGTACTCGGTTTATGCCTTGGCTTTCTCCGATCTTGTCCGGCTAATGTTCCTAAAGAGCGTAGGGGTGGGCGACAAGCTAGAAGCGATGGCTAGCAAAATGTTTGTGACTTGAATGGGTCTATTGTACGTCAGTCATCTGATGTCATGCTTTTTATTTTCACAAGTTTGAAATAGATTTGTATGAACCAATGATTCCTATGTACTTAATGACTGTCTAATTTTGAGTCAAAAATACAATATGTTCGTCTGTGATCATTTAGTTCCATTTGCTGTAAATTGCACTATTTCTGGAATTCTCAGTTCGTACAGTAATTCAAATACATCTAATCATCACAAATCCTAAGTCTCACTTTTAAGAAGTCTGTTGACATTTCTTCCTTGCACTCCGTAGACGCCCAACTTCGAGATCAACAGCGGGATTCCGTGAAGGCCGGTCGTGTACAGACCAAACCGCAACTCTACGGATCATTGTGGAACAATCAATTGAATGCAATTTATCACTCTACATCAAAACTACATCAGTGACTGAGAAGATTGTCAATATCATACTTAATTCCTATGATGGGTTAAACTGCAAAATCATGCATGGAGGACAGCTGAAGGACTCACTCGAAGTAAAGGCCTGCGTCAGGCAAGGTTGCTTACTGTCACCCTTTCTCTTTCTCTTGATGATCGACTGGATCATGATGTCAATATTTGGAGAGAAACATGGGATACAGTGGACAGCTATGATGCAGCTGGATGGTCTAGACTTCGCAGATGAACTGGCTCTTCTACTGCACACGCAACAACAAATGCAGGAGAAGACGGCCAGTGTAGCAGCAGCCTCAGCAGCAGTAGGTCTCAATATGCACAAAAAGAAAAGCAAGATTCTCCGATACAACACAGCATCCACTAATCGAATCACACTTGGTTGAGAAGATTTGGAAGACGTAAAAACCCTTACATATCTGGGCAGCATTATTGATGAACACGGTAGATCTGGTGCAGATGTGAAAGCGCGGATCGGCAAAGCGAGAGAAGCATATCTACAACTGAAGAACATCTGGAACTAAAAACAACTGTCAATTGCCAACATCAAAGTAAGAATTTCTAGTACAAATGTCAACACATTTCTACTGTATGAGGCGGAAACTTGGACGATTACGAAAGTCATCATTAAGAAGATACGAGTGTTTATTAACAACTGCCTACGCAAAACGCGTCGTATCCGTTGGCCAAACACTATCAGCAACAACGTATGGGAAAGAACAAACCAGATCACAGCGGAGGAAGAAGCGCTGGAAGTATGTTTATCTCGAATAAAAAGAGAAATTGAGCTAGAAAGGTTACGTCAAAAGGGAAGAGAATATTATAGTTAAGTTGTGACTGACAAGGTTATGTCGTATGAGTCTACATCTGCCTCACGTGCAGTTGAAGTTCCTTCTGGAAAGGACTGGATAACAATGATATCTAAAGATTTAGACCTACCAAAAAGAGAGATTATAAGGTTTGATGGTAATCCCATGACTATTGGAGTTTCTTACGGAATTTTGAAAAGTGTTTTGGTGAAAGCGTAGGATTCCGATCTAGGCTAAACTGGTTGATTCAGTATTGCGATGGTGAAGCCAAAGTTACTACTGGACATTGTGACTTGCTCGAACCAGAAAAATGCTATTGTAAGGTGTTAGAGATTCTCAAGGAAGTGTTCGGTCAGTAGCTCATCGTAGATCATGCAAAGGAAGAGGAAGTCACCAACCGAAGGTCACTGTGACGAAGAGGGCAGAAACTAGGGATTCAAATAAGCAATCAATACATATTCGCCGTGGTATCGTACATGGTATTAAAAAAGGCACCATTCTACGAGTTGGGAATAAGAGTGTATCTAGTAGCCCCAAAAAAGCCGGTGACAGTCTTAGACAGACTGCATGTAGATGAAACCACAATAAGAAAGCAAATGCCTTTTTGGAAAGAGGTTGTGAATGGTGCTTCAACAATTCGAGAGCTGACCACCAAGGCTGTTTGTGGAAACGCATCGTAAAGTCAAAAAGAAGAATTTTGCGATCACTACTATTTCAGAAAGTGTTGATGGATGAGACTTTGGAAACGTTTTCAAGAGGGGCTGAAGGATTACTGAACGATTGGTCATTCGTACATATAGTTAATGACTGTGATAATCTGGATCTCGTTACACCAAGTAAATATTAGTTTGTAGAGGTGTATCATTCGATGAAGCGCGGCCTGCTTGAGCATCTGGGCTACCTGTTCCTGCCATCTAGATATTTCAACAAGTTATCCATTGTTGTTTGTTTTAATATATCATTATGTTTATTAATCGCATAACCTATTCTGCTGCGTTTCTGAAAAGTGTACAACCTTTCGTTGTCAAAGTTACAGAAAACTCAATAAGAGACAATGTGGTTGCTGGCAATATACAACGAAAAGAATGTACATTATTCAGTTGTTCATTCACTGAAGTGCTAACATCTAACTGGCGATCCCTCAATATTTATCGCCAGGACCGACCAAGAAGAAAGAAACGGAAACTTGTTGAAATACTTTGCGCTGAGAATTCTATATTGTACCAAAATTATAATATTGAATAAAGCTAATAATAATAATAACAAGCAAAACATGCTTGTATAACAGGAGAAGGAAAGAAGCGCAACAATTAGCCATCCTATTCTGGAACAGATGAATATGGGAGTACCTACCAACCCCTTAGGTGAGATCCAAGTTGTTGGAAGTGAGAAGAAATCTGCAGCCAAGAGATCTAGTGTTAGTAAACAATAATGGCTCACTGAGAAATTGATGGCCGAAAGCTATTGAGGATGCCACAGGTATTCAGAGTTTGACAACTCTTTAACCAGTAGTACCTTCTAATATGAAGCGTACCCACCAAAATCAAAAGACAGAAGCGAGGAGGTTCGAAGATATATTTGATGTGCTATCAATTTATCGAGAATCGCTAGATCTAATCTGGCTAGCGATCGCAGTAGATGTTGAGCACGCCGTTCCCACACGTGATTAGGTGCGGATGCATGACCGGGCGTCTTCAGCTAGGTGAGTCTTTCGTGCCTTAAGGTAACCCAAGTGCTATTGATAGAAGAAACCAGACAAATAGTGAATAGGTCTTTATTTCGTTCTTAGCGCAGTCACAGTGGAGCGTGGGATTATTTGCTCAGACAAACAAAGCCTCTCAACATTCAGTATAAGATAATAGGAAATATAACGCCTATGCAAAATAGGGAAGTGAATGAATACTTGAACTATACTGTTTTGGCATATGCTTGGTTGTTTGAGGTCAACTCTTAACCAACCAACCTAGGCTGTTACAAGTCCATTAAAACATGTGGTCAACATCCAATGTCGAAAACTTACAGAGCTATTTATGTTTCGGGATTAATTTACCACTACACTATATTTATACATGTCAAATGTGGTTCAGATGGACGATTATTTAGAGTTTGACAACACCTTAAGCAGTAACACCTGTAATCGAAACGTGCCAGCCTAGTGAAATCAGAAGCGGAAACGTATGAAGATACATCCCAAGCAACACAAAACGGGGAAATAAAGGCGAAGAAAGGGGAAATAAAGCGGACGAAAGCGTAAATAAAAGGGAAATGTCACTTTTCGCCCATACGTCGGTTATTAAGGTAAAATGTCGCTTTGTCCCCCTTACGTCGTGTATTTGGGGGAAATTTGTCGACAATTATACGTAACGTACAGTATTTGGATGAACCGCATCCAGAACTGAAGTTTTCATAAACTTCGACAAATTAAGGCACCGCTTAATAAAAAAACAAAAGTATTGTCATAAAAACAAGGTAAAAAATACGGAATCAGGCATTCGGTTGATACGCATATAGACTGACTTCGTTTGTTGTTTAGCTGAAGTGTTCCAACATACTTTGGAGCCTTCACAAAAAACTTACGTGATGCAGGTGAGTGACGTGCTCTCAGGATTTCAGGCTCATTGTGACTGAATACATTCTTAGGCCAATAATATGACTATTTATGATGTCAGTGAGAATGTTCGTAGATGTAGGGCCACTTTGAACTTGTCACGTTCCCTTGGTTGTCACAGAACCACTTATAATCGTAGGTGGAATAATATGAGAGCTGCCTTAATGAAAAAATATGGCTTCCTTTCGTTCAGTAAGTTTGCTAATGAAAGCACTATAAAAGGTAACTGAGTTCAACAGTGTTGTTTATCAAATCGATAGAAGTAAAGACGGAAATCAGTTGTAATGAAAGTACTTCAACTAATACACCGTCCACTAGCAACATCAATCAAAGGCTTTCAGATAATAGTGGTATGTACATTAAATTCATACGCGAATATATTTCTGATAGGATGTACGGTAGTGAACTTGTGCTCTCAGAAGTTCGTAAATCGCAAAGAACTGATCAACTACTTTATAATGTATATAATGTCAAATACATCTCTGAGCATACGAGATGCTGATCGGGTTCTGTATGGCCTACGATTTCTCATCCCGGACATACCGAAAAGCATCAGAGGTGTTTTGAAGACTTGTCCAAGTGTTCAACCAAAGTTCATCGGCAGTGGGAATGATATCCACCTACAAAGGTGCGACCAACCAGATGACAATTGTGCAGTTCTGAAATGTAAAATCACTAACGATTTCGGTAAGTAACAAACATGGAAACTATGATTCACTATAGATTCTCTGCAGTCGGCGAAAGATGTTTTACTTGCAATGCAAATACTGGAATCACCGTAGAAACACTTCTACGGATGAGAACAAATTGCCACAAAACAGTGAGAAGCCCAAGATGTCAGTACAATAATCTTACTAACAATCCCTAGAAGTGCAATGAAACGTAAAGAAGATTTTCTTTACAATTCAGTCGACATGGATGTGGCTGAGATGCAGGCTGGGAATATCCGTGTACAATATCCTAAATTCCGGGTGTTCGACAAATTCATATCGCCAAGTAGGTTTTATTACTATTTAGATATTCACGAATTAGTTCGACACAATTAGAGACATCACCATCCACATCGGAATCTAAGCATGTTGGTGGTGCTAAAGCGAACCAGTAAGTGACCTTTTTCAGCTGAGATAGGTTGTATACAATTATTATTATTTATTATTTGAACACATGAATATTGGTACAATAGAGCGCCAATATATATGCGCCACACAAAACAATGAGAATTCGAAGAGAAGTAGAAAAAAAACTAAGGAGCGCAAAAGAAAAAGAGAACAATGACGAAGAGATTGGAGTAAGGTAGTGTGGTACTAACGACGGAACGAAAAGGTACAATCAGAAGAAATCTTTCAGGTAAAGGAGACACAACCACTTTTTATGAAGAAAGTAAAAGAATGTTACAGCAGGATCGCCACTGGCTTCTATTCTGAGCCATATCAGATAACGTCTCTAGCCACTGTGTAGCACCATCTCTCAGACCCCAACCAGGGAGTCGTGAAGGACCAACAGAAGCCAGTCCTTTGCAGCTTTCTTTCATACCACGACACCATGTCATGCACTGACCACCTCTCCGCTTCTTCCAACCAGTCCCAGAGTCGGCAAATAATGCACGACGTGGAATTCTCTGGGACAACATTCGTAGAACATCTCTAAGCCACCGAAGTCGGTGTTTCAAGATGGTGACACCAATTGCATTATCATCTCTGTGTCCGAACACACGATGCCGAACCTCTGCATTACTGACATGGTGTTGCCACTGAATGTCAGCAATCCTTCGGAGACAGCGATGGTCGAACACAGAGAGTCGTCTAACGTCCTCAACTCGGAGAGGCCAGGTTTCACAAGCATAGAGCAAAACTGCTCTCACCGACGCGTCGTAGATCCGACCTTTTACAGCCAGACTAACATCACGAAGGCGCCAAAGGCAGTCCAGATTGGCATAAGCCGCTCTGGCTTTCACTATACGTGCATTGATCTCATCACTCACACCCCCACCAGCACTTATGCAGCTACCCAGATACACGAACTTCTCGACTACTTCTATCGGCTCACTATCCAGGGTGAGTACAGGATTAGAATCCTGCCAGTCTTGTAGAAGTACTTTGCACTTCGAAGGTGCAAAGCACATACCATACCTGCGGACACTGATTGCCAACTGATTAAGTGCGGATTGCATGCCTTGGGCATTATCGCACAGTAAGACAATATCGTCCGCATACTCAAGGTCGAGAAGTCTTTCTCCAGGCAACAGATCCACACCACCATTACTTACATCCATCAGAGCTGTTTCCAGAATGTCATCGATGGCAAAGTTGAAGAGGAATGGTGAGATTGGGCAACCCTGCCTAACCCCACTACTCGAATAGAACAGTGGTGAGAGGTGGTTGTATGCCCTCACTCTACCTGAGGTGTTTGTATATAGGGCTTTTAGGATGTTAATAAACTTCTCAGGCACACCCTTCAATAGACAATCCCAGAGAATAGTCCTATCCAACGAATCGAAGGCAGCCCTAATGTCAAGAAACACTACGATTGTTGGCCTTTGAAAATTATGGCGGTGTTCTAACATTTGGCGGAGGGTCAAGATATGATCAATATATCCTCGACCAGAACGAAACCCAGCCTGCTCCTCGCGAGTCAATCTTTCCCGGGTTTTGAACAACCTACGAAGTATAACGGAAGCCAATAGCTTGGACGCAATCGGAAGTAAACTTATCCCCCGATAGTTGTTACAGGAACGACGTGAACCCTTTTAAAGATGGGGAGAACTATCGACTCATTCCATGACGTTGGTACACTCTCTAGTTCCCAAACCTTTGTAAACAACGTCGTCAATTCCTTAGTCAGAAAGTCACCACCATCTTTTAAAAAAGCCGGAGGTAAGTCATCTGGGCCAGGTGATTTGTAACGCTTCAAGAGTTGGAGTTCCTTGCGGAATTCCGCCTCATTTGGTGGATCAGTCGTCACCGGCCATGGAGGGCAGGACAGTCTGACCGATGTTGCCGGAGCAGCAGGCCAGTTGAACTGCACTTCGAAAAATTCTGCCCACCGTCCAAGACGTCGATGGATGTTAGTGATTGGCATCCCATCGTCCTCGCAGATTGTTTCACTCACACCAGACTTCTTGCTGCCAGTGGCTCGGATGAGCTGGAAGAGCTTCCGGTAGTTACCAGATGCAGCTGCTGCTTCCAGCTCATTAGCACGCTTCGACCACCAGGCTTCTCGGTATTTACGCAAGCTTTGACCAATTTCCTTACGTAACATCCTTCGTTTGTGGTCAAACTCACGGTGACCCGGAGTAGACCGACGGGCTTCAATGAGTTGTAAGGAACCTGCAGAAACCCAGTGATTAAAAGCGGGACGTTTCGCGAACCCACAAATGACTGTTCCCACCATTTTCATGGCGTCATGCAATTGCAGCCAATGCTCATCTATACTTTTCGGTGGAGTGGTAGCTAGCCTAGAGGCTAGCTCGGTTTGATACTTACTTGCAACAGAAGTTGCAACCAGCTTGCTAACATCAATCCGTTGATGGCGGTCACTTCGTTGGCCACTGAAAAGTAAGGCAAGATTGGCGCAGACCAAGGCATGGTCAGAGTCTAGGTAGTACTCCAAAAGGAGCGTCAGTCTTGTACACAACCACGCCAGCGGTAGCTGATCGCGATGTGATCAATCTGAGTCCACGCTTGGGATGCAGAGGGAGGACGCCAGGTGGCACATCGGCGATGACTGCCGAAAGTTAGTGCTAGCCAGAAACAGGTTGTGGTCTGTGCACAGTTGCAGTATACGGTCCCCGTTATCTGACCTGCGACCAACGAGTCCCCATCGGCCACCTAAACGACTCTCTTCTGTGCCTAGACGCCCGACCTGAGCATTCAAATCTCCGGCTAGTACAACAATATCTGTCGAACGCACTTTCTGGAGAAGAACTGATAACTGGTGGTAAAACTCATCCTTGATTGCATCCGGGCTGCAATCTGTCGGGGCATATTAAGACTTTCCAAAGACATAGCCAGTACTATCTGTTGTCCGACCTGCATAAATATGCGAACGTTGAAGGCAGCCAGTTTGAATGGTGCCAAAGAATGTCTTTGAGATATGGTTGTGACTTTCCTTTTTTTAAAATTCAGAATTCACAGGACGACTTCCTCAATTCTCAATAGCCGAACGAACGTGGCTTAAGGTAATAGTCCGTGCAATTGTTTTGATGTTCTACCTACATTTCAATAAATATTATTTTGTCAAACAGCGTACTTTCTTACTTACATCGGAAACTGTAGAAGTGCTGAGAATGTGTGTTTGAGTGTCACTGAACTTTTGATTAAATGCACATTCCTTACAAATAATACATCACCTGTTCCTTTTTTTGCAGATAATTTCAAATAACAATGAGTTAGCAATTGCATTGGATATGCAAAACAATGTATGCTTAAGCTTCTGCTCTAATGTTGTACAATAATACGCTTTTCCTTTTAAATAAATTTTTTCAAAAACATACCGGTTTTTCACTGCATTGCAGATTTATTTTGGTCTGTTGTTGAAAATAAAGGCGAACATAGGAGACCTCTGGGATTATGTCAATGGATAGAAAATAGGGAGTTATGTGTGTATTTAGGCGAAAAGTAGACAATCAAGCGTATACGTAGGCAATTCCGCGGAAATTTAGGCGAAAGTAGACAATTCCTCGGATATTAAGGCGAAAAGTGAGTAATTTATCGACAAAACGGCAAGAGGGGGAAGTCCGCATTATTTCCCCCGGACATGCGACATTGTGATGCGTTTTCCTCTTTCGCTACCAAAGCATTTACCCCTTTTTTTTGTTGTCTGGGTAATTACAGTGTATGAGTACTAACTTCATAGTAAGTAAATAATGAAATGTTATGGACAACTTAATAGATTTGACGGGAAAAACGTTGATAACTGAGGTGGTCAAACAAAAAATATGCTAACGGAATAACGTCCCAAATTTCAGTCGAAATTCTGGAAGCTAAGAACTAGCTGTTTATATATATGGGTACATATCAGGATTTCATCTAGACAAAACCACTATTTAAAGACCAGTTGACACTAAGGAGCAAAATTAAGGTCATAAGAGAACTAACAAGTGTTCTAAGTAAAAGATGAGTAATGACAAAAAATTCGTAAACAACTGGAAATGCACCAACCAACAACAACACAGCAATCCTTCAGTGACCAAGTATGGGAATATCTAGGAACTAATACACAAACATTTGATAAAAACTATATTGTCTCTAAAACTTCACTGTCAATACAATTACACTATTTTCTTGGGTCGAAAACATCTTTACGCCCTACTTTAATAACTTAGAATATCGTATTTTCTGTGACAAGATTTCACATATAAAGATTGAGAATCCAGTGCTATATTTTAAGGGTAAGTCTATTGATCTTTTCAGAAAATCATTTTGGTTTCAACTCTTAAATAATTAGATTATGAACTCATCGTCACTTTTTATAGTGTATTACTGGGAACACTTCATTGAACAACTTCACCTTAAACATCTTGAAAGATTACTTGGGTCACCATACTCGTCATTTTTAGTGTAATATAAACTTGGATAAAATTATCATTCAATCCATTGTTGCGTAACGTCGATCAGCAGTCTTAAGACGAAATAGGCGACTAGTTTTCTGGAAATCAGTGGGTTTTAGTCGAATTGAAATACTCGACACAGGTTAATATCACTGATATATCAACCACTTCTCAGGAACGCTTCCTAACGCAAGGTTTACTACCCCGAACCAAAAAACGTGTTAAAGTCAACGGTTATACTCTTCGATTTCGCCAACCTCGCGTTCAGCCGAATTCTCGTCACACAATAAGCTGACTTGGAGAAACATAAATGGTCTGAGATTTGTATTTTGGCAAACTGTGAAACTAGTGTCTAAGCTCGCAATGGTAAGCTGGTGCTTATTACCACTGAATAGAACTGCACTGGACTCAAATCTCGAAAACTTTTTGGGAAATCCATAGATCTCGAAATTTCGAGTGCATTTCAATCCTATTTATCATCCATTACATTTTCATAAAAAAGACCGATCGCTCACATTTGTGCTTACTCATTAGTTTTGCCATATTTACCAATTCTCAGCATTTTAGTAACCAAACAGTAGTAATTTATATGCAATTCTTGCATAACTCATAATACGAGACTTCGCGCAAAAGCCTAAGGCACGTCACCTCTAATCTATTTGGTTCGATGTGATAGTTTACTTGTACCCCTTAAAATGTTTGTGTAAAAACATAACGTTTGGGATCTCGAAATTGAGTAAGGACAGAACCTCTGCAACACTAACAGACGTTGGTTATTTTCGAGGTTGATTCATAAAGTTCTCCGAACTGCTCAAACCACCAATAAACGCATATAATGAGTAAGCGACCCCAAAACGCAACAGTTTGAGAATTATTCCCTTAAAATATTTTAAATATAAAAGAAATACCAGTGATTTTTGTGTTTCCACATAAAAGTAACGGAAAAACTATCACCCTTAACTGAATTCATTTGTCAACAGATACTTTCTTCACTCAAAATAGAGTATGTGTTGAAAACATAAAGTACATGCTTTAACCATACAGAATTAAATGAGACATGTAATCTAGTTCCAAATAATAAGAACGAAGCTTTAATTCAAAAGCACATATAATACAAACTGGAAAATGATTAACAAAAGAATAGAGTCACTGTAAACTAGGCCAAAAATAAATACCTAATCTACACAAGATAGTAAAATTAAATTTTATTTTCATACAATACAGACATGAAATTGTTTTCAAAAAAAGAAGTGTTGAAAATACACACATGTACATCACACAAAGCGTTGTTGTCGAGTTCTCTATTATTCACCTTTTTCTTTATCATCTTTTAAATACAAAAATACGAAACTAAATAATATTAGGCCAATCATCATTGATATAGCACTACCATAATAAGGATAAGCAGCTACGAGGAATCGTTCATATTGTGTATGAGTAAATGGACGAACAGGAACCTGTATGAAGATAAACAATACATTATTTAGGTTTCAGATTAGAATATTTGGGAGGGTGGATAGAGCAAAAACTAGAAAACCAAGAACTTACTTGTGTAACACTTAGTAGGTGTGTATAGCCAACACGATAATAATCAACTACGAATTTGAAAACTCCGTACACATCAGGTAGTTTCATAACAAGTTTGTATTCACCATCTACAAAAATGTGACGATTGAAAAATTCAGATTAGAAATGTAATGCTGGTTAAATAAAATAAAAAAAGCAACTACGTCAATTCGTGGAAGTACACACTAGTTGTAAGAGTTATATAACACTTGTAGGCCACATCTATGTCATATCGTCACAACTAGAAGAAAACTACCAAGATGAATACCATAGAAATAAAAATAAAAGTAACACCGATGGTAGTAAGAAACCAAATCCAAGGAATTCGATTGTAAGGAGTGAAATAAAGGATTCAAATTATAAAACATCAAAACCTAGGAGTTAGAAGATGAGTAGTGAATAGATTTGGGACGTTGGGGTGAATTGTGACTCTGCATTTTTTCATATACGTCAAATCAACAGAAAATTTGTAGACATATACCATGATTTTATGATCCAACCTCTAGAATTTGTTTAACCTGGTTCAATGGCAGCCAGTACTGTGTCGGGATAGGTAATAGATGGGGCATATAACCCGATTACCTTAATTAATGAAGATTCACAACCCAATTAACCGATTTGCCATATTTATCTCAAGCTATACATTTAAACTCAACACTACGCATACCATAAGCAAGCAATGCTTGAAGGAAATCGTGATCGAATACCAGCCACCACCCAATCTTTTTTACCTCCGTGTGCCACGTTTTAAAACCATTAGGTACTACAGGGCGAACTCCGGAGTAATATACCTCACCATTAGGTAGACTAACATTTTGTCTATAACACAGGTGTCACCAATCGGTAAGAACCGGACGGATTTTTCGTATCCATGCTGATACCAGTTATTGATCTATCAGGACTGATGAGAATGCCAAGACAAGTTTAGTTACCGACCAGTTTACACAAACTAAGCTCACGAAGTGAAATCCCAGGATTTTGTTGTACGATTATAAAGAATGGAAATCACTAATGAGAAACAACATTTAAATGCATGCAGCGAAAGCAGTAAATTAAAATTGGGGAGGTTAGACTTAAAGCAATAAGCACTTGGAAAGGAATTAATTAAAATACTGGACGTACAATAAACACCATACACAATCTACACCTTACGTGTGTGCTTCATTGAAGGAGACTGACTGAGCAAGCAGAACATGTTGCAAAGATAACTAAATGAAGATCCAAAAGGTGATGCCGTCTTAACCTTGTGGATGAACGTAATTCATCAAATACTTTTTGTAAACTTGAAGTAGTTTACGATGACGTTGGATCGCGTTTAACACTTTAGGGACGTATATTTCGATAAAATCTTTGGATAACTGAACTAGATTAACTAATAAGTTTGTACTGTATCTAACAGGTTAAAGCTTCATTCTACAAATTTACTTAGTTTGCTTTTTGAGCTATTTTGTACTTCTAAATCTCATTGTAAAAGCTGACGAAAATGTTCACAGCAGGCAAAACAAGAATTTAGAAAAGATGACTAAACTAACGATCATAATACACTTTTTACTAAAACGAAAAAATTTACACTATTTTTACTTAGAAATAGCGATGAACTTCAGTTGACAAAAAACACCAAGTATTGACTATTGACGTAGTAATCCCTAAAATCCTCCTTATGACTAGTTTATAATTTTTCTGAGATAAAAAGGCATAAGGTTACCTATTACACAAACTCAAACAACTGAGGTGAACTCCCAAAACTTAGTCTTTGAAATGATTCTAGGCTTATTATTATAACTAGTGCCAAATCTCTTAAAAATCTTTATCCTTTTAGTCTTACTTTATGACCTCCAAAGTCTTCAAATGGAAGGGTCATAATAATCTTAATAGTTACTTGTCGTTATAACTTGTATCACCTTGTGGATAGAACATAAGTACATATAATACTGCGAAGGTTTTTATGGACAAGAGTCGACAATATGTTGCGAATTATTCCATAAAGTGAGCTTGATATTCGATGTAAGAATCATTACGAACCTATGTTTTTATATTTTGCTTCTGGCAGAAAATTAATGTCAAAAGTGGATTTACAGATATCTAAACAAAATAATAAGCTGACTACCATACTTTTGTATTCCATTTTTTTTCTGATAAATGGATCGATTCGCACAAACTCCAACTGGACATCGTCTGCATTGAAAGGAACCCATTTCCCGTTATCGTCTTTTGTTTCTATTTTGATTATGTAAATAACGTCATCCAAAATTGTATACTGGTTAGGTGGAAGAGTTTCACCCACTCGATGGTGTTTTACGTAAACATGTCGCAGCTGACCACGCTCACCCAAAACCCATCGCAACAGATTATCAGTAAGCATTTGGTTGCCACAAACCACACTCCTGTACGATAACAGACATTTAAAATGAAATAAGATCAAGTATGAGAAATAGTTATCTC